CAAAGAAGTATCAACAGATTGACTATAGCCAACGTAATCAACTCCTCTGTATACTTATGTTGATATAGGTAAGTCCTTGTTGGAGTTGAAAGCACCTCAAGACCTAAGAAATACTATAAATATCCCAAATCCTTCATATGAAAAGACTCCTTAAGTTGGTCTTGAAGGTGAGATATTAATCTGGATTCGGTTCTGACAATAACTATATCATCTACATAGACAAGAAGAAGCACAATACCTGTCTTGCTTTTAGAGGTAAAGAGCGATGAGTCATATCGAGTTTGAGACTTGCTAGAGGTGACATATAAATCTTCTCTTTAACCATACAGGAAAGCATTCTTGACATCTATTTGTCACAAGGACCACCAACCCTTGGAGGTAGCTATGGTAAGAACAATACAAATCTTTGTTATTTTAGCAACGGGTGCAAAAGTCTCATCATAATCTACGACGATAACCAAGAGTTACCAACCGAGCTTTATATCAATCTAAAGATCCATCATAGCGTAACTTAATAGAGTAGTTAGTTTGACACCAGGAGGACAATGAACAATATCCCATTTGTGATCTTCTTGGAGAGTTTGGATTTCCTCTTGCATTGCTTTCTCCCAGCAAGGTTGGGTAACAGCTTGGAATAATTAGGAACGACCTATGATGCTCGAATTTGAGTACGGGTATTAGGTATGGGTACGTATCTGTATCTAAGTGTCGGAACTTTTATTTTTTTTAAATGTAGGATAAGAGTACATGATTAAAAAGAGTCCAATTTTCAAATATGGGTACATGGGCACGTCTTTTAAACTTCATTTTTTTGCTAATCTAAGATGATATTTTGCATAGTATAAAATATATTATTTACAAAGAAGGAAATTGGTATTGGATAAAGGGTTAAAACGAATAAAATGGAATTTTGGGGTTTAGTTTTCAATTATGGGAATTATTAAATATTATGTAAAATAGAAAATGAGGGACTTAAATGCAATTTGAACTTAGTGGATCATTAAGTAACACTATATGGAATTCATTTTCATCTTATACAAACAAAACTCTAAACCACCATTACAGAGAGGGAAAGAATGAAAAAAGAAGATAATGGAAAGAAAAAAGATAGGAGGGAAAACCTAGCGCCGCAGTCTTTCTCCATCATTTCGACGTCGACCGTAGTTTTATAGAGAGCGAAAATGGGAAAGAAGAGAAGGGAAAGTACAGAAAAGAGAAGGAAAAATGACGAAATGTTCGGTTGAAATTTGGAGAATTCGATACATATCTCATACCCATGTCGTGTCATGTTCGACGTGGGTACTCTGACTATTTCAAAAAGTCCGAGCATCAGAGAGAACTGTAATATGACAAAAGGTTGCCAAGAAACCATACCGATCAGGAGGTTGAGTGGATTGCCTAAGAGTAGTGAAGTCTGGAGATGGATTAGGGTCAGGAAGGGGCGGTGGGGCTGGAAGCTGTTGTCTTCGATATACTAACGTGGTTTAAAACGTTCAATGGAGCAAGCCATCCTCAAAGCTAAGGAGTGGAGCCAAATCAAAAGAGGACTTGATATGCTGCTGGAAGTAATACTGGTTCTCAAAGGAGACCACATTGTGAGGTAAGAAAACGATTAGCAACACCATCATAACAAACAAAATCCTTATGGGCAATATTGTAAGAAGCACATCGTACAAATTGAGTAGCAAGATTATGACATTTATGAGGGGATAAATGAACAAAGCAAACACCCAAAAGTACGCAATATGTCATAGATAGGTTGTGTATCATTCATGCGAAAATGAGGCAAGTCGAAGCCCAAGTGTTGAGCAGGAAGTCGATTAATCAAATGTACAGCTGTAAAGAGGGCTTTGACCCAAAATCTAGGCAGATCTGAAGATTCCAAGAGTAAAACTTGGATTATATCTAATAAGTGACGATTCTTTCTTTCAGCTAACTTGTTCTGTTGAATAGTATACGGACACGATCATTGAGAGATATTCTCCTTTAATTGCAAGAAAGATTGACAATCATGAAACATATATTCCCCGCCATTGTCGAATCTCAGAATTTGAATATTGGAAGAGAAGTAAGTCTCGTGTAAGCTACGAAAGTCTTAAGAGTAGTATAGACCTCACTTTTAGATCTAAGAAAATATATCCAAGTGGTCGACTGAAATCATCAATAGATGTAACAAAATATTTATAATGAGTATATGAAGTGATGGGTGCCATGCCCCAAACATTACTATGAATAAAGCATCTATCGACCCGATTGCAAGAATCAATAGTTAAATTGGAGAGCTGAAACTGATTTTGTTACCAAAAAACCATGTTTCGACAATTGAGACAAAATTAAATTAATACGATGACCTAATCTCTTATGCCAAATTTCATGTTTAAACCCAACATTAATACAAGCCAAAGGCATAGCGCTAGGAATTGTAAATTGTAATGGGAATAATCGTCTGAATTTAGGCCCTCTCACAATCACCTTCTCCGACCCTTAATCTCGCACAAGACAATCAGCATGAGAGAAACACACCACAGTTATTATCAACCAGCTGACCAATCAAAATAAATTCAGTGGATTAGCTCGGAGATGTAAAAATATTATCAAAAGAAGATCCAACATCACCAACAACAGTTATTGGAAAGGTGCTGAAATTAGCAATTTGAATGTGTTGTGTGCCATTATAGCGCCAAATGTTGCGCAAGGAATCAGAACTACCTGTTATATGATTTGACGCCCTTGAATGATTGAATCAACCAACCAAGGAGAAGAAATAACTGGACCTTTACCTTGTAAGCCCAAGGTAGAGAAGGCTGAAACGATCACTTGTTGAACCGTTTTTGTAGTTAGACTTGGTTAATTGGTGCTAGCTTGTGGAAGACGGGGTTCTAAGGTCATGTACGACACTTCTTGATGAAATGCCCTGGTTGTTTGCAGTAATTGTAGACTTTTCAAGGGCAAGTACGAGCAATATGATGATATCCTTTGCAGTAAAAACATTGGAGTTTATCCTTTCCTCGTCCTTCGTTGCATATGCAACAGTTACCACATCAGATGAGGATATATCAGCTCCCATGTTAGCCTGAGTAGCCAGCCGTTGTTCCTCGCGCAAGAGTTCACCTAGACACATTCAACGAAGGAACCGGATTATGATTCAACAAACCTGCTCGAACCACTTTAAATTCGGGTCGTAATTTCATAAAAAATTGATCGTGTTACCAACCTTTTGTAGTCCTGATAAGACTGTCGCAGGGAGCTTAGCATGAATTATCCCTGAATACTCACTCATCAAATTCTGAAAATAAGAATAACATTGCCCAATAGTAAGATTACCTTTAGTGTAATTAGCAACCTCTAACTACAATTGAGATTGCTGTGTATTGTTGTCTTGATAATAAATGCGCTTTGAGTACTCCCACATTTTCTTAATAGTAGTGAAAGAGCGTAAGTTATTCAACATGTGTGTCTCCATAGACCCCAAAATCCAAGAAATGATACGAGCATCCTTCGTGTCCCATGTACTCAGATCCTTAGCATCCCCAGGTGCTTTAGAGGATTCATTAATATGACCCCAAAGCTCCTTTCCTTTTAAGAACATCTTAAATTGAAATTTCCATATGGAATAATTATGTTTTCGCGAACTCAACACAAAAGATGTCAATTGACAGAGCTTTTTTTAGTGGAGGAAATCACAAATTATATCCGTCCAAACAAATTTTCACCAAAAAAAAAAAAAAAAGAAAAAAAAAATTCCTACTCCAAAAATTAGCCCACAAAAAAATCAGGCCCAAACTCAATCAAACCCCAACAGAAATCAGACTGCGGCCCAAATTAATTACCACTCGAAGGCAACTCATTCCAAAATCAGCCCAACAAGAAAATCAGTCCCCAAACTCAAATCAACCCACAAAATCAGTTGCTGCCTAAACATCCCACACAAAACAGAGATCGCATCTATCCCACAGGACGCCTGAAACGCGAGACGCCAAGAACACACAAAGGCGTTGATCGAACACGCAGAGATGTTAGAGAATCGCAAATAGAACTTCGACCACCGAGAACACGATCGCCCTGAAGAAGACATCAACCAGAGATTGGATGACATGAAATGCTGGAAGGAGCGACTGGAAACTACGAAATTTGTTGAATCAACGAAGATCTCGACCAAAATTTGATCGACCCAAAATCTCTAAAATCGAGAAGCCACCCAGAAATCAATGAACTCGGACTACACCGAAGGTAGAAAAAAATTGAACGAATTTGAAGATTTAGCGATTGATACTATAGGCATGGCACTGGTACTATGAGAATAATTGGCTGAATGTCCTCCCCGTCTGGGATGTCTTCCATTATATTATATAGAAAAAGATTACATGCCTACAGTAATCTATCTATGGTATACATACAGTAATCTATCTATGGAAACTATAAATATGGTAAAACAATGCATAACTATGTCAATATAAGTTGTCCATAATCTTTATTGATATTATTGCAACGTCCCCCGGGCCATCCTTTCACCTAAGTCCCAGTAATAATGCTGAAAACCTGGAATTTGTGTCTTTTGCTTGTCAATTCACTCTAAGTTAATTGTTTATACCTACAACAAGTATGAAATCGATTAAATCATGGAACTACATTGGTTTACTTGTACTTAAGAACTTCTTCACTTAATCTTATATCTTGGTTTTTGATAACATTAGGTGTAGTGGGTATTTCACATTTCAAAATCCTTTTAAAATGCTAACTATTATGGTTGCACATTGGATTTTTATATGATAGCCAATATATGGGTGGCATAATTTTTCTTTATGATGGTGTCTTCTGTTCTGAATCTCCTAAGAAGAAAACTACATACTAATCTTTCTGCAACTTAAATATTTAAATATTGTGCTTTAATTTATGGTTTCTATGTTTTACATCATATATTACTAGAATTTGGCAGAATATATTTTTATATCATTATAGTATTTTGTGTCTGGAATTCATTTCTACTTGTGGTTTAACAGGAGTTCATCTTTCAAAATATTTTGATTCTGTTTCGGAGCGCCATGGGTGATATACAAAATGCAGCTAGAGAGGCCTTGACGCGAATTCATGTTTGTGCTGTCTTCTCTGTTACTTTTTTAATTTCTATGGATAATTTTAACCAGATTTTGATCGATTGCCTACTTCTAAGCTATGTTTGAATCTGTTGGACAAATGTTGGTTGTCTTCTCTGTTACTTTGTTTATTCCTATGGATAATTTTATGCCAGATTCTTGTTCGATTGCCTACTTCTAAGCTATGTTTGAATCTGTTGGACAAATGTTTGTACGTGAGAGAGAACAACATTGATTCTGTTCACTACCAAACCTGCTTATATGGTCTTTCTTGAATTATTTTTGAACTATTGTAGTGTTATAATGGTATTTAACCTATAGCACACTCGCCTTCTGTAGGAAGTTCTTGCTATCATCCGTCTGTATGTTATAGTTTTCAAGTCCAAGTGTGCATCTGTCCCTTGCTTGTGAAATATCTTCTTATCCTTTCTTGTCATGATGTCTGTTATGGTGTTGTAACATCACATTTCATGATACTTGAAACTTTATTAGATTTTACACTTCTACTACAGACACTTAAATAGTCTTGCTCAGAGATCGTTTAAGGATGACTTGAGGTTGATGTTCCAATTATTGTTCTGAGATGACAAAATAAATGATAATTTGTTATCAATGTATAGCCTCTTTAACATAAAACCAGTTCTCCTAGAAACTTATTCTGATTGTTAGGGTGCAACTTTTTCTGTTACAGATGTGTGATATCAAATAAACACTAGTTGCAACATATGTATCATTCCGTAATATTGATATTCAGAAATTGGATTGGACAATGTTATTTTTGGTGGATGGGTGATTTAAAATGGGTACCTGTTTAGTTGGGACATAGAACAATGCCTCCATCGGCAAAGCAGCTTTTGGGGTATTAAAACCTTAATGTTGTATGTCCACCTCTGGTGGCCTTTTATTTCCAGCCACATGTTGAGAAGAGACTTTGGCAGTTACAAAGATTGGTGGCTAGTTCAAACACTAAAATTTTTAACTTAGAGAAGATTGATGATAACCCAAGGTCCTGAGGGTCTCTATGCCAGTCATCATTTTTATTTTTTATTTTTTTGAGTTTTTACCCCTATAAAGTGATGTGGACAAGGTAATTTTATTCTACGTGATTATCCTTCTGTGTTTATTGGTGTTTGTATGTTTTTTCTTGTGATGTAATACAGAGATATTTGCTGATGTCCAAAAAGCAATGGTCATGGAAATTTCTGTAACACTGGAAAAACTATTTTCTTACTTCCTTTTCCAGTTTCCTCAACAATAAATAACTTGATAAGTCAATTCTGATCTTGCAGATCAACTCTGCAATGGTTGATCGGGTGCTTAATTCAATTTTGGGTCAGAATCACTGCTCAGTTGGGTTAGCTCATGGGAAGAAGAGAAAGGGAGCACACAATTACCAGAATCCTGATCCGTATAATTTAATACAACACAGAGAAAATACACTACTACTTGTGAGCTCCTTACTTGACGTATTGCTCCTGAAGAAGAACATAGAGAACAGGTCTGCAATAATTTTTGAATGCAGATTTAGTACGTTCTACTGTGATTGTGATCTTTAAATTGATGTGTTTTCATTTACTTAAACCCAAAAATTTGGAACATTTGCTTTCTTGAAGCTGATGATTTCCAATTATATGTTTGTAGATCTTCACTACTGGGTCCATTATTTAAGCTTCTTCGCATGATATATATGAATAACGAGTGGCCGCACAAGACTACTGACAAAGATACGAAGCATGAAACTTCATCTGGTACTCTTCAGACTTTATCTGACACTGCCGCTTATATTCAGCAGACTCTGCTATCTACTTTGGAAGATATCAGTGCTTCCCTTGTAAATGATATTCCGGGAAAGGTTTTCTCTAACTTTTTCTCTAATATTTATTGACGTGTATCCTGTCATGATTCAAGTATTATGGGGCTTCTCTTCTTCTGATCGCAAGTAATGCATGTTTTATGTCAGGGTGACATTGTTCAGAATTTTGACTTGGAATTGTTAGTCAATTATGCCCGCTCTACAAGTGATGCGATTACCCGCAATCATGTCTTCTCGTTACTTACAATTCTTACCAAAATTATACCCGACAAAGTTTTGGACTACACAATGGATATCATCACTGTGATAGGGGAATCTACTGTTACACAGGTTGGGTGTTATCGTGGATGTGTACCTGAAGAATTCTTTTTCTTTTTCTTGACTTCATTTGATAATTGTGCTTGTGTGTATGCACTCTGTGAAGATATCAACATTTGATTCTTTTCTAGATTCCATCATTATTTGCCTTTGAAGCAATTGGGCGTTGCTCTTTAACGAATGCTAACATTCTACTATTATCCTGTTTATGTTGCTGATGGTTTGCATTAAGTGACTGCTGCAGCAAATCTTGGCTTCTTATGCACTAGCTCTGAGATTTTAAGCCCACTTCGTCATTTAAGCTGTGTATTTTTGAGCCCTAAATTAATCAATTGATCTTTCTGTAGTGGGATAGCTATTCGCAACATGTGTTTGAAGACCTTACATCAGCGGTTGTACCATGCTGGATATCTAGGACTGACAATGCAGAGAAATTTCTTCAGGTAATATTCTTACTAAGTTTTCTTTTGTTGGCATGGGGTTTCTGCACTATTCAAGTGTTTTCTGGTGCACTATGTGAGTGATCTCTCGCTTCTGTTTGGATTTTTTGCATATTAATCCTGACCTTGTTCAGAACTCCTCTCAGATTTTCGTAAGTATACTGCCTCAAGTTGTGGAACAAAGGAGGCTCCCCATTATTGTGCACATATTGAGGTATAAATAGTTCATCTGTTGTTTTGGTTATATGGCTTTCACTTTCTCTGACTAGGTTGCTTCACAGGACCCTTGGAGAAGCTGATAGTTTGGGTTCTCTGCTCTTCCTCCTCTTCCATTCATTAGTCTCAAGGAAGAGCTTATTTAGTCTTAGCAGCAACCCTTCCTTGGATCAATTAACCAGTATCATCAATAGACAGTGGGAGTATGTATTTGCTCTTCAGCTATGTGAGCAATATTCATGCACAATATGGCTTCCTTCTGTAGTTTCATTGCTTCAGAAAACTGGAAACAGTAATCTGAGTGAAGATATGGTTCTGGTGATCCTGGCCGCTGTGCAATTCATTTCAGACAAGCTGCGAGATCCTGAAATTGCTTACAAGCTTGATTCCGGAGAAGATTTGAACAAGATTCAGGTATGAACCATCCGTGCCTTGTTTTAAACTTTCTATCAGTTGGTAAGCACTGGGAAGTGAAGTTTTTAATATTGATTTTATAGCCTCATTGAAGTGTGTAAATTAGGATGTGAGGATATACACCTACAAGTGGAGGTGGCATCAATTGAGGATAAATGAAGGGATTGATGACTTAGATGGTTGGGAGATGTCTTTGTAGATATAAAGTAGCTTTTGTTCACAAAGAGCAGTGGAATTATAGTAAAGGGGGTGGTGAACTACTCCTATTATGGCATGAGGCGATTGCCCAAAAAAAAAAAATAAATGGAATTTTTAGTTATTTGCAAGCTTTGCTATCTATTCTGAGATATCCAGTAGCTTTAAGGAGGCTGCAAGTGCTTGGACGTGTTTGTTTGTAGCAGGTGCTTGGATGTGTTTGTTTGTGGAAGTTCTTTTACTTTCTTTCCCCTCCTACCAAACTCCTCACCAGCCTTGGTTTTTAATTTGGAGCCATTCAGAGAAATCTTGCCATTGAGATGATCATATCATTTGTTTAATGTTGAAGTACCTAGATTGATGACCTGGTCCTAATCGAGTGGATGAGTGTAAAAAACCAAATTCTTTTAGAAACTCTATTCAATGAGACCATGTTGCTAAAAGTAATTCTAATCTATTTATGAAAATTCAGAATGTTCTGAAGTTGGGTTTATTTAACTACAGCTAAAATGAATATGCAGGTTACTGTTGGTGCACTCATGGAGCAAGTTGTCTTTCATCTACAACTGATTAACTCGAAAAGAAAGCATATTAGTCTTCCCTCTGTCATCAGGAAAGAACTGAAGGAGTATTTCCATGCTGTTTTAAAGACTGTTACTAATGGCCTGCTACCAGCAACCTACTTCTCTGTCATCATTAATTTACTTGGCCACGTTGATAGGAGCGTGAGAAAGAAGGTAAAAGACAGTCCTTTTGCTTCCTGTCTGTCTTGAATGGGAGCAGTTTCGAGCAAACAGAAATTGCTAAAACTTCTGGCCGTTCAAGATAGCATAGATCCTCCATTGAATGGGGATTTTTTCTGAAACCTCTTACTTTTTATTAAAATGATTTAAGGCTTCTTAGTCAAAAAATATGTGGCCCATAATGTTACTGTCTCTGTGACTCTCTTTTGCACTTGCACATTCTTTTCTGATTTAGGAATTTTTGCTTTAATTATCAATTTGCAGGAGTTCTAATCTTTTATTTATTTATTTTTGTATTCATGTGCAACAGGCTCTTGGAGTTCTGTGTGAGACGGTGAAGGATTCCATTACCATTAATGCAAAGCTTGAGAAAAGAGGACTAGTTTCAAGCATAAGGAGCTTATGGCTTCATCTCGATGAGACTTCTCTGGAGTCATTTAATAACTTGTGCTTGGAAATATTAAAATTAGTTGATTGCCCTGATGATGACTCAAGTACTTCACTGAAACTGGCAGCTGTATCAGCACTGGAAGTTTTGGCCAACAAATTCCCGTCACATGATTCAGTCTTCAGCATGTGCCTTGGATCTGTTAGCAGAAGAATCTGTTCAGACAATTCTTCTCTCTCTTCTCGTTGCCTTCATGCTACTGGTGCACTGATTAATGTACTTGGGCCGAAGGCTCTGCCTGAACTTCCGGGTATCATGGGATGTGTGGTAAGGAAATCTCGTGATGTCCCTTCTGTGGCTGCAGAAACCAAAAGGATTGTGGACAGGACTACTGGATCATCAAATTTGAAGGACACCCTCTCCATTTCTATCCTTCTCACCTTAGAGGCAGTTGTTGATAAGCTTGGTGGATTTCTCAACCCATATATGGCAGATATTTTAGGACTTATTGTGTTGCATCCGCTTTATGTTTCCACCACTGAGCCAAAGTTAAAATTGAAAGCTGATGTCGTGCGAAAGCTCATTACTGATAGAATCCCTGTAACTTTCCCAAATGCTTCCTATTTTATTTTTTTCAGCATACTTTTCTGATAAAATAAATTACTAATGTTGGAACTTCCTCTTGATATTTGATTTTGTTCAGGTTCGGCTTTTGCTCCCACCAGTGCTGGGAATATATTCTGATGCTGCAAAATCTGGGGAGTCAAGTTTATCAATTGTTTTTGAAATGCTAGGCAACTTGGTTAATTCGATGGATAGATCATCTATTGGTGCCTATTATACGAAGATTTTTGACTTGTGCTTGCTAGCACTTGATCTTCGCCGCCAGCACCCTGCATCAATTAAAAATATCATTATTGTTGAGAAAAATGTCTTAAGTGCGACTGTTACCCTGACCATGAAACTAACCGAGACTATGTTCAGGCCTCTTTTCATCAAGAGTATTGAATGGTCTAGTTCAGATGTTGAAGATAGTGAATATACTCCCGGACAAACAATTAATCGTATAATTTCCTTCTATGCATTGGTCAACAAACTTGCTGAAAACCATCGGTGAGTTAGCTACTGATTTATCCGATAGAGCTTTTGGTCCGCCATGTAGGTTTCTTGAAAGTAATCTACGTTAATGGTTATCGTTGCAAGTAAGCTAGTATTCCAAAATTTGATTTGTGGGAATTTGAGACGAATAGACATTTTATTTCATGTCCTGACATTCTAATGTTTGAGACCAAAGTGATGTGTAATGGGCGTGATGGTTACATTGTTGACATGGATATCAGTTTTCCACATAATATAAGAATTAAATGCCACATAAAATGAGGATGTTATGTGAATGAGATATTGAATGGCAACAATTTTTAAAAAGATCTAAAATCATTTATTAAGTGATACGTATTTGTAGGATTTGTTAAAATTATCCCGCCTGAATGTTTGTCACCAGGAGGGGATATCGATTATCTCATGGATTCTCCAAAAATCCCCAATCCCCATCTGCCACCTGGGAAAAGAAAGTCTTGCTATTCTTGCTTCACCATCCATCTTGGCCCCATTGGATTTTATATTTGTCACTCGGAAATTAAATTTGTAGGCTCATGCCATCATTTGCATGAACCTTGTGGCTACTTAAGGAATCGTGTCATCGTTGGTTTTGTTTTTTAACCCAAAGCAATTATTTTATTTAGAATGTGAATGTTTTATCTCATATCCTTGTATGTTTCATAAATCTTTGTATGATTCAATGGTTTTCATTTCATTGCAGATCACTATTTGTGCCTTACTTCAAGTACTTGCTCGATGGCTGTGTTCAGTATCTTGTTCATGCTGGTGATACAAAACCAGGCCTGGTTCGAAAGAAGAAGACAAAGCTTCATGAAGCAAGCAATAACTCGAAGGACAGAGATGTTGGATTGTCGCTTGAAATGTGGCATCTAAGGGCATTAATTTTATCATCTCTACATAAATGTTTTCTCTATGATACTGGGAGCCTTAGATTTCTTGATTCATCCAATTTTCAGGCAAGGATGCATCTTACTATTAAATCCCTTTTGCTCCATGTCTTGACAACTTTGTTGCACTGTAAATAGTGTCAAATATTGGGCCTTATGCGGATTAAATTTTGCCATTTCTTGGATGCTTCTGCAAGTGGATTGTTTATCAACTTTTTTTTTCCCTCATATTTGAAAGTGAAGCAATCAATCTGATCAATTGTGTTTCCTCCTTTCTGGTAATGTTGCTTTTGCTCTTTAATTAATTATTAGATCTGGATGGTTTTATTTTGTTATTATATATTTTTATGGGATTGGAGTTGGGTATTGGTTTCTGGTTTGGGGGTGGAGGTGCCAAGGGAGGTTTTGTGTTATGTAGGACAATTTACGTAACCCTAGTAATGATCATATTTAGGACTATTTCATATTTTTGCCCACACTCACTATATGTCAGACGAGACTTCAAGAAACGGTAGTTTTCCGATTAAATGACTTCTTTGTTCTTTTCCATCTTATTGCAACAAACATGACTACTGACTTCTGTATACTTTAAAATCAACAATATTTTACGTAGTCTGGTGCAGTTTCTTCATTTGTTTCTTTTCGAGTGAATGTACTATTTCTTATTTCAGGTTCTTCTGAAACCAATTGTGTCACAACTCGTCGTGGATCCCCCAGTGTCTTTAGAATTATATCCAGACATACCATCGGTGAAGGAAGTGGATGATTTGTTGGTTGCCTGTATTGGCCAGATGGCTGTTACTGCTGGTTCTGACCTTCTGTGGAAGCCGCTGAATCATGAGGTCTGCAAAATATACCCTTCCAGTAATCTGATATTCTGGCGTTGGTTTGTCTTTATATTGCATATTTTTAGTATTATCTATCTTTAGATCCACAGGCAAATCTAAAAACATAAAAGAAAAACATATTTTACCTTGATCCCTTCACGTATAAATTGCTAATTATTGATTGCTGCGTTTATAAATTCACATCCTTCTCCTCTCTCTCTTTTACTATTTGTTTTAGTTGGCTGATAGGTTTAATTGTTCTAATTTGATTTGTAATATAACTTAGCAGTAACTTATTTTGGCTTTGAGATCCATCTCTTAGAATGATTAATGGAAGGATTCAAGTAGAGGGTGGGAGGGGATCTTGACTCTCTCTTCTAGGCTCCATCAGTATGGGGATTTTGGTTCTGTTCTCGTCATTTATCCCATGTTTATTTAACACCAATCCCACCTTCATTTGATGCTAAAACCATTCCATTCCGACATATATCTAATTCTGCACAAACACCACCATTATAATTCTACTCGGAAAGGTGATGGCCCAAGTTTGTTCGAAGTATTCTGATAGTTGAGTAAGAGGTCAACTTGTGGGGAAAATGTAATCAACCAATACACCATTCTAATTCTCCATGTTACCTTCTAATTTGGATTCTTCCAATGCAGGTATTGATGCAAACTCGTGCTGAAAATGTACGGCCCCGTATTTTGGGTCTCAGAATTGTCCAGTACCTTGTAGAGAAATTGAAAGAAGAATATCTGGCATTTTTGCCCGAAACAATCCCCTTCCTTGGTGAATTGCTCGAGGATGTTGAGTTGCCTGTCAAATCTCTTGCACAAGAGATTCTGAAGGAAATGGAAACACTGAGCGGTGAGAGCCTTCGGCAATACCTTTGATTGGTATTACTTCTACCAAATCTAATCTGCCAAGAAATTGCCTCCTTTGCGATGTACCACTAGCAAGCAGAAGACATCAGGCACTTCTTTTTCACTGTATCTATTGCCAATTTTGTTAGGTTCTCTGCGGACGGCTTTTGTTGAGACGTGTCATATTTTAGTTCTCAGCAAAGCAAGTTGTAACAAGTTGGTTCTTATTTGAAGACGCAGTAGATGGCAGTTTCCTTTTATCTTCATCGTAGCCATAACTTCTCTCCTGATTGTGCATTGAGAGGTCTCTTTAGCGTATATTTTCCTGCTATTTATGCCAAAAAAAAAAAAAAAAGTGTGTGGCATTTATAGTAAAGGGAAATTTGATTCTATTAAAACATGTTTTGGTTTTTTGACCTGCTGGAATCAGTCTCTATTTTGGGTTTAACATGCTAAAATCAATTAAACACAACTTTATATTTTTCTCGATTTGGTGTACTCCAACTCTAGGTTGCCCTCCTTTCTTCTGAGTAGAAATGCTGCTGGACTAAACTATAGCGAACATTATTAACAATAGCATATATATATATTTCATATATATTTTTTATTTTTTTTTACACAGTGAGTATAGTGCTGTAAGAACAATGGGAGCCAATTAGTTAACTACTACATTATCAACTGGAAACCCACTCGGAACTATCAATTCTCCTGCATATTTATGACACCCGCTAGCATATAATCAATATAAACTAAAACTACTACTATGGTTATTTTCAAACAAAAAATACTTTCAGAAAGCTTGTATTTGATTTTGATGTAGCACAAAACAAATTCTCGAAGTCTGACTTCAGATTTATCAAAAACAATACTAATCTCAATGTTTCCTAGTTTACAGCACCAAACTGCACTTTCATGCACGAAGCAAGAAGTGTCCTATTATGACTGCATTATAGTCTACTCATTGGCCGCTGCTCTCTCGCAAGACTCCAGTGGCGGCTCTGCACATGGCAGACCTAACATCACCAACCTATATGATTTTGGTGAAGCCCTTTCTAACCTCTCTCCATCATCTCCTCCTCAAAGCTTCGTCCCGAGGATGGCGTATTGGAACGAGTAGAGCGTCAATGAATTTTTAACAAGAGTAAAGAGATGTAGTGAGTTAAAAAGAACGATAACTAGAGAACAAGAGAGGCAGAGGATAGACTAAGGACTTAGGGAGGTCAGCGTTCTAGTGTTGCTCCCCGACCCGACCATTCCATCCTATGGAATGGATTCGGGGTCGTTCCTTAAGGCAGCCTCATGCTCGTCATTCTTGAATGTACGAGCCAAAGGCTTTTCAGAGTCATCCAAGTCTGGTACTGAGTTGATGTACCAATAGTCATCCATTCCTTTCCTTGATTAGTATACAAAGATATAAAGAACCCCCCTTACGTCACATTCACAGGTTTTGTGCCAGGATCTCTGCTAGGTTTGCGTGCCTTGGGTTTATCCTTCTCGACAAAGAATGTTCATCGAATACTTATTATTTTTTCTCTTCATTCGAACCTTTTAGTTTCACCGTGTTGTAACAGAGATAAGTGCCTGAGCCCGGCTGTTAGGCAGTGGAAGCTGCCTGAATGCTGGGTGCCTCGCCACTGTATGTACACGATAGCTGGGAGAGGGGGGGCTGTAGGTGAATGAATCTACATGTGGTAAAAAGAAAGTGGCACTTGAGGCTCCCATGAGACAGTGCAATCTGCTGTGAGAAATGTGTTGGGAGGCTGGTGTCATTCCTTGCAATGGATTTACATATGATCATTTGATTGGTACAAAGGTTGGTGGAACAATACTTTACTTAATTCATTCCATTTGGCTATTTTGAAAAGGGAAATATATATAGGTGCTACTAATAATTTTGTTGCTTGGATGTGGTTGCACGTATCATGTACATCTTTATGATCACTATCCACTACTGCTGTTTAAGGACTGCTGTTTGGATTAATAGGCTTAATATTGGTGTTTTGCGAAAAGATTTCAATGGGGAAGTATGTTAGAATTGTTAGGAGTATGACTCAAATAGGAGTCTTTTGAAGAGGCGTATTTGATTTGGACTAGGAGAATATTAACCTAGGACTTCAAGGAAACTAAGTTGAATAAGCAAACAAAATCCTGTTGAAATTGTGTCTCCTAATTGTAATATATTTTCTTACCTTTTAGGACTCTTCTAGGTTTGACCTATAAATACAACTCATTTGTCAATTTTATTAGATGTAACAGATAAAAGTCAATTGCTAGATTGCTTTGTATTCTCTATATTGTTGATTTAGTAAATACTGTTCCTCTGCGTTAATCATTTTGTTCCTCTTTACAATTTAAACCTTGTTTCGTGGTGTGATCTTGTTTACTTCAATATTGTCATTAAATCTTGTTCCTTAAAATCTGATTTGGAATTAACTTGTGTTATTGGAGCTTCTGTGCTCAACATGTAGTAACAGAGCTTGGTTCTTCTTTTGTGGATTGACTGAAGTTTTTTCAGAGATGACTACCATGAGGTAAGACATTCCACTGCTGGCTTGCAATATAAGGTTTTCTTTGTGGCAAGTAAAGATGAGGGCTATTCTAACGCAGTTGGATTTGGATAATGCGTTGCTGGGTTCTGAGAAGATGCCAGGTGATTAGACAATGGAGGAGAAACAACGGAAGGATCGGAAGGATGTGTCATTAATTCATCTTCATTTATCCAACAACATTCTGCAGGATATCTTAAAGGAGAAGACGGTGACTGCTTTGTGGTGAGTCTAGAGCAGTTATTTATGACTCAGAGTTTTACCAGTAAACTGGCTCTTAAATAGAAACTGTATTCCTATCGTACGGTAGAAGGATGATCATTGGAAGATCACATTGTCGTGTTCAAGGAAATAGTTGAAGATTTGAAAACGTTGGACGTTAAGTATGATGAAAAGGATCTTACCTTGATCCTGTTGTGCTCGCTGCCTAGTTTTTATGCGTCGTTTCAGGACACCATCTTGTATAGCCGAGATACTTTAACTATAGACGATGTCTATGATGCTTTGCACTAAAACGAGAAGATGAAGTATTTGGTTGGAGCTACATCAAGGGATGGGGATGTTCTTGTATCTCAAGGTGGTCGACGGAGAGGCAGATCGAAAGTCAACTTTACCAATGTGCATTGTTACTACTGCAAAAGAAAGGGACATATTCGAAAGGATTATGATATGTTGTAGGCTAGAGGTGATTTACCTGCAAATCGTGGAGCGCAACCTTTGACTTCAGACGAAACCAATGTAGTTGAGGATTTTTCAGATGGTGGAGATATGCTGTTGACCGTAGCATATGATGTGGAATCTAGACCTGATGAGGAGTGGATTCTTGATTCCGCATGTTAGCACCATACGTGTTACGATAGAAATTTATTTCAGACATATGAGGCTGTTCAGCAAGGTGGAGTCGAGTCAGATTGAAGCTTCGGGATGGAACATTTAGAATAATTGATCAGGTTCGACATGTTCCTGACCTGAAAAGGAATCTCATTTCGTTGGGTACCTTGGATGCAAAAGCGTATAAATTCTTTCGAGGAGGTAGAGTCTTGAAGGTCCGAAAGGGAGTTCGGGTTGTATTGGAGGGACGAAAAAGATCCCAGTTGTACATTTTGCAGGGGAATGCAGAACATGTTAGGAGACATTTGGACAAGTTTAATATCGTGGTGGAAGTTCAGTTTGGTACAGAACTTCTTGGATTGGTCTCTGAGTCGGTTCAGAACACTGCTAAGGAGAGTGTTGGTGATTCCACTTTACCACCAATTTTAGCAGGTACATTGTGTTCAGTTGCTGGGATAGGACTCATCAAGCGTAGATAACGTGGTGTCAGCAATGTCTGGGATGCTTCTGTGGATGTTGAAGGCGATAGTTCCAGCAAGGGGTCTTCTGATCAAGCATACGGTTGTTCTTGCTACAGGGTGTGCTTCGGCCTTGTGTGATCAACATTTATTCCTTGGTGGAGTTGGAAACCCGAATATTGGGTTTGGACGTCAGTTATGGATGTCAAGCAGAGGACGAGTGTTTGGTCTATATGAAGTGGTTACTGTGTTGAGGAGATTCGGCTAGTTCATTTCGTGTAGACGGATTTTAAATCTAGGAGTTTTGTTCATCTCAAAAATTTAAACCTTTTTTCGTGGTGTAATCTTGTTTACTTCAATATTACCATTAAATCTCGTTCTTTAAAATTCAGTTTGGAATCAACGTGTGTTATTGGAGCTTCCACGCCCAACAAAAATTACAGTGTTCGACATCTTTATGGTAACATCCGAATCTAGTAAATTTTTCAATAGCGAGTCAAGAGTCAATAGTCTATGAGGAGCCTATAGCGCGAGATTATCTCTCTAGATGAAGATGAAGATCAAAACTGAAGAAGTCAAAGATATGTGAAACTCTCAAAGAGGATGTTTTGGAAGAGTTCAATAGTCTAATGCTTTCTTGGTTTTCAAGTCCAACAAGCTTTCCTGAGAATCGCGAAAGAAGGTTCAGCATACTAACTCTTGTTCAAGGAAAAGTGTGAGTACTCATTTTTGGTAGTATACATAATAATGGGAAAGATCACAAGTTACAGTTTGGATATAAGAGTTTTAGGAAGCTTCGGGTGTTACATAGAAGACTTCTGGATACAAGATCACAAAAAGAGTGTGAAAGGAAGGTTAAGTAGTTGAAGCTATTAACACAGCTATTAGTTAGTTACAGAGGTGAGAGGATGGTTAGTTAATGAAGTGTAACTGTTAAATATGTAGCTATAAGAAAACTATAATTCATCACTTGTATTCTTTCATTTTTAGGAAATAAAACTCAGATTGTTCTCTATCAAATTGCATTTAATTTTAATTCCTCTAGTAGCCGATTTCTTAGTATCACCGAGATGTTGCAAACACTCTTTCTCATCATGTTTGATTGATAGGGTCTTGTATTCTATTCTATATACATTTAATATTATCAACTATTTACTATTGATAATATTGACTATACTAAGCCACACCTAGTGAGTTTTCTTGTCTTGTTATGGATTATCAATGTAATTGTTGGGTTTTGATACCAAATAAATCCAGGCAATGATTTAACATAGTTGACGGATAATATATCGACACCATATACTTGGCTCAACTCCAATACGATTGACACTTTTGGATGGCCCAAGTTGGAGTTGGATTTGTTATTGATGGTTATGTGAGCCTTGGCCCAATTATTATTAAGTTTGCCTTGATTTTTTAAATAGCCCATTTACCTTATTGTTGGCACAATTAAGTGACCTAATATCCAATCTATATATCCTCTATCACTGTAGCCGTTTTAGGTGGTGTGTGTGTTGTGTACAAGAGAGAAAACGAGAGAAAGGAAGAAAGGGAGGCAACTGGCTTGGGGGAGAAAGGGAG